CTATTAATTCTAACTACTTAGAACATATGATAAAGTAAGAACACGACGTTCTATCTACGATATATTATAGAATGAATGATAGAACATATATTCTATAGTTGAAATAATAAAGAGTCTTGGTTAGAACGTAAACATACGTATTCTATATTAGTTAGATCATAGACAAAGGGTTACAACATATATTGTATGTTTAAAATAAGAAAGTGTCTTGGTTACAACATATATTGTAAGTTTGAAATAATAAAATGTCTTGGTTAGAACGTGGACCTACGTCTTCTATATTAGCTATATCATAGACATATGGTTACAATATAAATACTAAATTTGATAAAACGTTGAAGACAAGTTAGAATGTGTATTTTAGCTTCGTAAAAACAGTTATAATATACATTCTTACAAATCTAGATCAACACATCCAAACTGTATTTGAAGTTTATTTTTTTTTTTAGCAAAACCTATAAAATATTCTTATGATTATAATGATTTTTTCATATTTTTTTGGAGCTTTGTATCATTTTTAATAATTATTTCTATTATTATGAGGGTATTTATGTCAAAAACTGACTAATTATTGTGAAGGTATAAAGAGACAAAAACATTTCTATTATGGCCTATTTTTCCAATTTCCCCAAAAAACAAATGGGTTAAGTTATCCGAATTGCGAGCATGTATTGGTCTTTCTGGTATTATTTCATTACTTCATAAGTGTTTAAGTAATACTGAAAAAATAGAACATGAAAATTGATTGGACTAAAATTATATTTTCTCTTTTGGTAAACTCGTTTTCAGTATATTGGAAGATACTATTAAGTCCTCTCATCGGTGTTTCAAAAAAAAAAAAAAAGTCATCTCATCAACTTTTTAAAGGTAGTTTTGTATATATATATATTTAAATTCATTCCATAGTAGCTTGTAATTTTAGTAATTATCTCCAATGTTTTTCATAGCTTTTTTTGCTCCGAGCATGGTCAAATGATTCAGATCCAAAGTTATGAATTGTCAACATCTACAACAAGTCATTTATACCTGCAGTTACCTAAAAGTCTGTCATTAGTTAGGCAACTCTATAACTAAGATTGACCATACAAAATTGTACTCCGTATAATTTAAATTTGTTTTAGGTAAATAAGTTGGAATGCATGATTAGATAGACGATCAAGTCCACATGATGTGTGAGATACATAAACATAATTAACTTTATCTGAATAATTTTACTTCTGCTGTCTCTTAATGGTAAAAAAAGTTATTACTACAAGTCTACAATTAATCGTAAACTTGTCCTGTAATCATCAAAGTTCATTGCATTTAGTGGTAACACAGAAGTTCATTGCATTTGATGAGAACATGTACTCCCTCCGTTCCTTAAAGATACATATTCTAGAAAAAAATTTTGTTTCTAAAAGATCCATTTTTTACATTTTCAATGCATGTTTTCTTAACTAATTGTAAACTTCAAAAAACTTAATTGCACTAATTGATTTTCTATTGGCTAAAAATTATGGAAAGAAGATAAATACAAAAAACAATGCAAATTTATTGTGTTTTATTAAAAAGTGTGAAAAATCTAGAATATAGATCTTTTAGGAACAGAGGGAGTATAATATAGGTCTGACAGATATTAAAACTCCCGATAAGCTTTTCTGAACACTAAATTTAGAACCCACATTTAATTTATCATTGTAATAACTTTTCTTTCTCCTGTCTAGAGGACAAACATTTCTTCCCCCATGTGAGGAGATGTCAGTCTCATTGGCAGTAAATATTGTTATAAGCCATCCATACACGTATGCAAACATGTATTTAATTTTCTGTGTCTGAAATTTCTAAATGATAAGAATGAGTTAAGTAGCACAAAATGGTGATTTCACAAATACATATGCAGTTTAAGAATTGAAATATTTTCTATAAACATGTAGTAAGTATATATTAAAACGTAAAAAACAAATTTAAAATAAATAACAGTTGATGTATAATTAGACGATGTCTTTATATTTTTGGAAAAGAAACCATACAAAATAATATTTTAGATAACTTGAACACAAATGTGAGACCCACATACATAGAGGGTAAAGCGACATTACATATAGAGTTATGGACGTTGATGTTTACATAACCTGGAAATACGTGGGATCTCTAGGAACTTCTCTTGCTGGTTAGTGCCCTATAGAAAGCATCCAAGATATATACAAGTTTACCTTCAATGTCTATAGATTAATTTCTGCCAAATGCACTATTTTTCTTTTACAACATTCATTTTTAATGTTATATGAAAATTTGTTTGCATTTTGCAATAGTTCCATATATTAAATCGTGTACCTTTTGTTGACAAAAAAAAAAAAAAAAATCGTGTACCTTTTTAGATATAAAGTAATTTCGATGCTTCTAGACTTATAGTCTTTTCTCTTAGGAAATTTTTTATTTTATTTTAGTGTATGTAGAATAGTAAATAATTTTCAGTATAAAAATGTTGGAAAAAAGTGTTATACACTACCATGACTAAGTAATAACCCACACCCTGAACATAGTAAGATATTTTATAAAATCTATGTTAAACAAATATTTTTTATTAAAAAACTAATAAAATAGTAAATATATTTCAATAATTTAATAAAATTAAATAGTAAAACTATATAAGTATAAATATGATAAATATTTATAATAATGCAAAATTAAAATATTTTTGTATTTTATATGATATATAGTTTAATTTACATGATATTAAAGTAGATATGTATATTTAATCTAAAACATATTAAATGAGACTTTCTACTACTATTATTTTAAGATTATTTGTATTTTTTTAAAATAGGAAAAAATCATTGATCACTAAATATTATGTACGAAACTTTTAATCGCTTTAGTAATTATAATGATTTTAAAATTCAAAATATACATATACAAATAATCTAATTTTTATATCGTTGATATCATTGTTTAATTTTCTTAAAAATATATAAACCTAAATAAATATGATAGAAAAAGACAAATTATTATTAAATTTTTATTATTTAAAATCATTCATTGTTATATATGTTTTGATCGCATTAGATAATTTTGTAGTTTTTATTCAAAAATTAATATTGTTTTAGATTATTCTATTATTCTGAAGATTCAAAAAATCATGTTTTTTTCAAAAAATCATTTTAGTGATAACAGATGACATAATTCACATGTTATACTGCTTATCAGTTACTAATATTTATTTTCTAATATATAAATAAAGAAAAAAATAAAGCGAATGTTGTAAAAGAAAAATATAGTTAATTTCACGTTTCGAATTCTTGTTTCCTATGGCTTATATTATCTGTTTGTAGAACAGTTTATTTGGAAATATATTAGCTTTATGATCCTAATTTAAAATTGTTAATCCAAAAGGGTCTGCTTTGGGTGGTTGTTATAAAACAGTGACAACCAATCTGTACCATCCATTTCTTTAAAAAAATAATAATAAAGACATGATTATGTCAAGTTTCATAATACTCATCTTTACATGTTCAATTTTTCTAAACTGGGTTCCTTCTTTTTTTACCCAATAAACATGAATTTTAGGAGGAAAACACTAAACAAGGAAAAACACATATCCAAGATTTTTACCAAAAAAAAAAGAAGCATATCCAAATGCCAAATCAGCAAGCCAAAGCCGTTGATTAATCTATGATCCAAAGGCTAACATTCATCTAACGCCAAAGCTATCTCTTCTGTTGCAGATCAGAGATCAAAGTCATCGTCTCAGAGTAAGCAGCCATGGATTCTGGAACCAAAGTGAAGAAAGGAGCTGGCGGAAGAAGAGGTCCAAAGAAGAAACCGGTTTCCCGGTCCGTTAAAGCCGGTTTACAGTTTCCAGTCGGTAGGATCGGTCGGTATCTAAAGAAAGGTCGCTACTCAAAGCGTGTTGGAACCGGAGCTCCGGTGTATCTCGCTGCCGTGCTAGAGTACCTTGCCGCCGAGGTATACAAATTTGTAACCATCTATCTCGTTGATATCGTCGAGGTTTCTTTAACTTTGACTTGTATTCTTGTGGAATCTATTCTTCTTTTGTTTGGTTATGATATCAGGTAGTAATGGATCATGCAAATAAACTACATTAATGTACCTTGGGGAATCATATAACACGGTTCTGAGAATCAGTGTGTTACATTGCATGTATCTGAATAAACTTAGATTAATTTGCATGTCTCATCAAACCAGGTTCTAGAGCTAGCTGGTAACGCTGCAAGAGATAACAAGAAGAATCGTATCATACCACGCCATGTTCTGTTAGCTGTGAGGAACGACGAAGAGCTAGGAAAGCTACTCAAAGGCGTGACTATCGCACACGGAGGAGTTATACCGAACATAAACCCAGTTCTCCTCCCAAAGAAGTCTGAGAAAGCAGCTTCAACTCCAAAAGGAACCAAGTCACCATCAAAGGCTACCAAATCCCCTAAGAAGGCATAGTTTTCATCAGCATTCCGTCTTCTTCTTCCTCTTACTCTATGTATAACTTGTAATCTCTCTGTTGGTGTGTAAAGACAGAACACCTCTTACCTTTGTTCACCAGTTGTAAAAGTTCAAACAAGTCTAGTTGTCGATGTAGTTTGAGATAATGTTTCAGTTTGTAATAAGAGATATGGTACGTTTTTATATACGATCAAACCTTATATCAGAAGTAGAAAAAATTGATATGAACAATGCATTATTCAGGTTACAGGTATATAAGTTTTGATCACCAAAAAGAGCACGTCGATGATGTCTATTTTTTTTTTTTTTTGCAACTTGGAATACCTTTAGAAAATAAATTATAATCGTTTAGAAAAATACATGCGAATTTTGATGAATGATATAAACAATATCAAACTTATAAAAACTGTTCGCAGTACCATTTACATTATTCATCAGACCTCACATCTCAAATCTTAAGGCATCCATAATTTTATTTCTTTTTTTTTGGAACTTTGATTTACATAAATTATGTCGAATACAAAGAGCTATTTTATCTCAGAAGAAGAGTTCACAAGATGACATGATCATTACACGGTTCTAGGGGGCGACGGAGGTCCGCTAGGTCCGGATGGCGGAATGGGAACATTTTTTGGTAACATTCTAAAAACAAGGCGTTGTGATGGTGACCATGGCTTTACACCGACCATGGCTGCCTTATCTGAACCTCGTGGTGGTGGATAAGCCTGTCCTCTAAGCAGTTTTCTAGGCCAGAGGACATGGCTGGTCTCATCCTGAAAGTCAATCCCAGTAGCTTCAATTACACAAGCGAAGAGGAGACCAAACGAAATCACCACAAGAAAAAAACTTGACTTCTCCATCGATCAAAATTTTACTTTGCAGATTGCAAACTCAGTTGATATTGTTAATTAATTGGGAGAGATTGTATAAAAAGACACGCTTATATAACGCATGGATGATTGGTGAACAAAACTTAGATTCACCTCATAGGATAAACCTCAAAATTCACCACAACTCTAATAACCACATACTAGGTGTTTTGCCTGCGCATGCGGGTTTAATTATCTTTAAGTCAATATAAAAAATTATCAAAATAAATAATTATTTGCATCCAAAAAATTCGACCTAAAACATTAAACTTTTTTACATGATAAAGTTATTCATAAATTAAAAAAAAAATATTTTTCCTTTAAAACTTTGAAAAATCTAAAGTCTATTCCATTTCTTCTTAATTGATAAAAAAATATGGAAATCTATCTTTCAATTTGAAAAATTGAATCGATAAATATACATTCAAAAATTGATCTTACAGAAAGAATAATATTAGTTTGAATAATAATATAATATATTTGAATTTATTTTTGTCAATCACGTATTTTCTTTCTTTTTGAATGATCTTTTATTTTATATGATTAATTCATGTTTAAGGTTTAACTATATAAAATATAAATATAAATTTAATTTAACCTGTGAATTCAGAGACGAAAAATAACTTCACAAATATGTATCATTATATTATATTATTATATTCTCTTAATTTGAAAATAATTATGTATTATATTTTTTTGATTTTTCTATGTTGAATTATATACAATTAAAAATTTTACTTTATGAATATTTATTTATATCTTTTCTGTTTTTGAATTTTTGGATAACAATACAATATATATATATAGGAATTATCTTTTTTTTTTTAACTATATATTTAGATTATGGATAACTCTTATCATTATTATTAATTTAAATCATTTATCTAATCAAATAAGTTTTAAATTCGTTTTTATTTTTGGCTGATTTATATATTTTATTCATTAAGGGTATAAACGATATTAGCCACCCTAACTTTTAACGTTTAAGGTTTAACTATATAAAATATAAATTTAATTTAACGTGTGAATTAAGAGACGAAAAATAACTTCACAAATATGTATCATTATATTATATTATTATATTCTCTTAATTTGAAAATAATTATGTATTATATTTTTTTGATTTTTCTATGTTGAATTATATACAATTAAAAATTTTACTTTTATGAATATTTAATTATGTCTTTTCTGTTTTTGAATTTTCCGGATAACAATACAATATATATATATATAGGAATTATCTTTTTTTTTTTAACTATATATTTAGATTATAGATAACTCTTATCATTATTATTAATTTAAATCATTTATCTAATCAAATAAGTTTTAAATTCATTTTTATTTTTGGCTGATTTATATATTTTATTCATTAAGGGTATAAACGATATTAGCCACCCTAAGTTTTAACGCGAGAGCTCCGTTGCGAAAAATCACTTCGCAAATAATAGTATAGATTATGCCACATAGATTAATGAATAAAAAATATTAAATATTTTAAAAAATTAAAACAGCTTAAATAATGTCAATTTTAACGACGCTAACACCGCCAACTAAATCCTAAATCTAAACCGTAATCCTAAACCCTATTTAAATTCTAAACTCTAAACCTTAAACCGAAGCCCTAAACCCAAATTATATACTCTAAATCTAAATTCTTTATCCTAAAACTTAAATCCCAGACTCTGAACCAAAACTTTATACCCTAAGTCCAAACCCTAAACCCTAAACTCTAATCCCTAAACCCTAAATCCTAAACCTAAACTTTAGATCCTGAAACCATAAAACCAAACCCTATATCTTAAATTCAAATCTAAACTGTAAATCCTAAACCCAAATCTTATATCCTAAATATTTGGATTAATGTTGATATTGTTCCTTTAGAGTTTAATGTTAGGATTTAAGATTTGAATTTAGAATTTACATTTTAGATTCATGATTTGTGGTCTAGAGCTTGGATTTAGACTCTAGGGTTTGAATCCAGGGTTTAAAGTTTGGGTTTAGGGTCTAAAGTTTAGGGTTTAAAGTTTAGGGTTTATGGTATAGAGTTTGGGTTTAGGGTCTAGGATTTAAGTTTAGGATCTAGGATTTGAATTCATGGTTTAAAGTTTGGGTTTAGGATTTAGGGTCTAAAGTTTAAGGTTTGAGGTTTAGGGTTTAAGGTTTAGGGTTTAAGGTATAGAGTTTGGGTTTAGGGTCTAAGGTTTAAGATTTTGAGTATATAGTTTAGATTTAGGGCATAGGGTTCGGATTTAGGATCTAAGTTTGGGTTTTAGGGTATAGGATTTGGATTTAGGATATAGATTTTAGTTTAGGGTTATGATTTGGATTTAGAGTTTAGTTTGTGACGTTAGCGTCGTTAAAGTTAGTTGTTATTTTTATTTTATTTAGTTATTTTAGATTTTTTACAAATATTTAATAATTTTTATTCATTAATTTATGTGACATAATATGTAATTATTAAAAGTAAGGTGAATTTAAAGATTCACCCTAGAAGGTGAACCTAAGTTTTATTCTCGATTGAAAGCTAAATTTCATAAAAGCTATGATCACTAAAATATCTTAAACTATTCAATTCAGTTCAATTCCATTCCATTCAATCACAAAACGGGAAATTTTTAGTTCATTTTCTTAATACAGTTTCCAAAATATTCATGATATTTAGTAAACTTTTTTGAGAATTTTTTTTTTTACTACCAATAATTAACTCAATCTTACACTATTAAAAGGGTGCTAATAAAGCCCTCTTAGATATGCCACCTCAGCTAAATAATCAGTCAATAAAATTATAAAAATTATCCATGTCATTTCGGTTTAGTTTGCTAAGCTGAGGATTCGGTTTGATTTTCGGTTCGACTTTCTAATCTGATTATTGGTTTATTACTGAGGGGGAGGAAGCTACATTTTCCCGTGTTCCTCTTCAATCCCTAACTAGATTTTGACGCGCGCTTTCAAAGCGTGTGATTATTTTCGTAACAAATTAAATTTATATGCTATAAGTTTGCATATTTGAATATCTATTTACATTTAAAAGTGAAATTTAAATATTACACATGAACCATTATATTCAGTGTTATGAAGCACAATCTGGACCCGTTGTTAAACCGACAAAACCGATGACTTCATATGTAATCCGGTTTGGTTTTTTTTTTCAAACTTATTATTTAAATTTTTTATAAAACCTTCAAAAATCCCGCTAAAACCTGGGACTCGCCTACTGGTTCAAAGTTCAGAAATATTTTTGAAACAAACCAAATTTATATGATCAAGTCCTTAACTCTGCAAGCTTTTCAATGCCTAATCCAAATGTTCCATCAAGTAAAGCCTTACAAACTTTGATATTGTTACTCAGTAATTGAAAATTAGACTTTTTGCATTCTTTTTTAATCTCCAAAGACTATGTCTCTGTTTTTTTAGTTGTTCAGTGGCAGATGCCTAATGAGCAGCTAATTCAACCTCCTTTTTGCTTCAAGCTTACCAATGCCATATGCAAATGGTCCATCAGGTAAAGCCTTTACCAGCCTTTTAGACTATATTTATTATACAGTGATTGGATATTCGATTCTTGCACTTTCTCGCTTCCAAAAGTTCCTTCTCTCTCTATGTTTTGCCGTGACACAACTGACTATTCCTTGTGATCAGCAAGAGCAACCCCTTTATACGACAAGCTTACCATTGCCTGATGCAAATGACCCATCAAGTAAAACCTGTTGTTTACTATATACAGTGATTAAAAATTCGGTTACTTGCACTTTCTAGTCGCAACAAAACGTCCCAGTAGAAACGCTGCAGCGTGAAGGAGGCAGTGACAACGAGTTAGGTAATAACTTTGAAAAAAAACAATCAAATCGAATGTGTCCATGGGTTGATCAACATTGAGGAAGAGTAAAATGTTATCATCTTAAATCTGAAGCTTTGTATAATTCAAAATAATAATAATAATACTACTTTAATAGGAGAATCTCTGCAAAAAAAAATTAAAATTAAAATAAAATTTTAACATGAATTTCTGAAAGAAAAAAAAATCTATTAAAATATTATAATTTATGGTCAAAAACTTACAATATCCGAATAACACTAAAAACTGTGTAGAAAGGATGCTTTGAACCAATGACATTCATCATTTCTAATATAAGCATGTTAGATGTAAGATCATACTCATTGTTCAATTTTTTTTAAAAAAATTATGATATATATGATAAAAGTTTAAGAATATCTCACAAGATTTTAAATAAAATATTTTCCTTATTTGTCTCTTAGGTTTTTTAAAATTTACATTCTTAACGAGTGAGTTATATACACATGGATTTCTCTAGGTTGTGTATTTGGGTATAAGAATCTGCCAGTGTCAAGTCAAGTTAAAATCCAGTGGTGATCCTTTATTTCTCGGATACTTCTTACTACCAAAAAAGATAATGAAAGAAACAAAAGATAATATTTTGTGGAACCCAACAAACCTGGTTTATAGCATCACATAAGTCTGTTATTTTTGCCAAACATTCTTTTTTCTAAAATACTCTTAAATAAACCTATTAAAAAATATGTTAAAAATTTATGTTTCAATTTTCGAATTTCATATTAAAAATTATGTATTGATAAAAGTATGTTCTTATAAGCTTCCATCATTCAACAAATTTACAATGCGTAACATATCAATCAAAGAAAAATACGATCACATAAAGAATGACTTATACATAGTCTCTACCCAACTAGGCCAGGTATGTATCTTTTCTATTTAAATTAAGATGTCTTGATATCTTTTTCAATTAAAGTTAACTAATATAATCTTTACTATTTTTAGACTATTTCTCGCATATGGTCCACATTAGCGCTAATACTCTTCTTTTTTTCAAAATACATGATCTCTTTCTTACATTATTTATGATCATTTAAACTATTCTCTTTATTTATAGAAAAGTACAAACGCTCAATAATCACCAAGTTTTTCATATTTTTTTTTACAAAGTACAATGTTCTCAATCCAAAAATAGTAT